CTGGAGGGGTGCTGCTGCATGGTGTGGGGGCACCTGCCAACTGGTGGGGGGTTCAGGCCAGCTAGCCCCTGTCCGCCTGTGCAGGTCTGGCCCCCTCCTTCCCATCTTCGTCTCTTGCTGGTCCATCCCCTCAAAACTTTAGGTCCTCACCTCTCACGATGTCCCTTCTGGTGGGCGGACACTGCCGATGGGCTCAGCGGGGTCCTGGGTTCGAGGGCCTGCAGAGCCGTCTCTGAAGCTGCCTCGTGGACCGAGGTTGCTGGACTGCTGTCCCGTCCTGGCTCTCAGATCGCAGTTCTCATGTGAGCTGGTGCTCGTCGGCAAAGCCACTCCGTCCCCAGTCTGTTGTGACACAGAGATGGCCCCAGAGCCCCAGTCCTGCCCCCAGTGTCCTACTTGGGGGCATGGTCCCCAAGGAGACGCCCAGGGCAGTGTGAAGGCAGCTTCTTCGGAGCTCTCTCCGTGTGTCCGCTGAGCACGGATGGCTCCAGGCCGGGTGGCAGGTGACCCTTTGGAGCCTCGGACAGCCCCGAGCATGTCTGTCGGGCCCTGGGTGGCCTGCCCCAGCAGCCTGGCTGTGCTGGCTCTGCCCCCCACAGGAACCCTGCTCTTCAACCTGCTGGGCGTGCCCCTGGTCGGGGCGGACATCTGCGGCTTCCTGGGCAACACCTCAGAGGAGCTGTGCGTGCGCTGGACCCAGCTGGGCGCCTTCTACCCGTTCATGCGCAACCACAATGACCTGAACAGCCTGGTAGGCGGGGCTCCGGCCTGGGGCTGCTGCCCTGTGGGCCCTTGTGCCCACCTGAAGGGCAGCCTTCAGCATTTCCTCCGGGGTGGGGCTGCTAGTGACAGATTCTCTCCCCACCCACCCGAGACCCTGCCCAGGTTCCAGGGCAGTGGGACGCTCCCCGGGTCACAGCAGCTGGGCTGACGTCATTGCTGCCACGCGTCACTGCACGCCGGGCGGGCGGCCGAGGGGTCCCTGGGTCTCCCAGGCAGGGATTCTCAGGGACCAGGAGCCCTGAGCCCAAGTGTCTCCCCCGTACCCCTGCCTCCCCACCGCAGCCCCAGGAGCCGTACAGGTTCAGCGATTCGGCACAGCAAGCCATGAGGAAGGCCTTTGCCTGGCGGTACGCCCTGCTGCCCTACCTCTACACGCTGTTCCACAGGGCCCACGTCAGGGGCGAGACCGTGGCCCGGCCCCTCTTCCTGGAGTGAGTGGCTGGGGTGGGGGGCGGAGGAGGGCCAGGCCACGTGCTGCCGACACTTGGGTGTCTCCTGGTGCTCGGGGCCCAACCCCAGGGCAGCCCTGGCCAGCTGCAGGGTGTGCGTGTTCTCGGAAAGCGAGCCAGGAGCTGAGGGCAGCTGAGTGAGGCGAGGCCGAACCCTGGGCCTCTTGTATTGAGATGCCCCAGCCCCCGGCCCTTAGACTCCTGCACGGGGCTGGGGGGCTGAGGTAGGGCAAGTCCAGGATGAAGAGCCCTGAGACGCACCACGTGATGAAGCGTGGACTGCTGTGGTTACGTTACTCTGGGACTGGCTTGAGGGAAAAGGACCTCAGAGCAAGCTGCAGAAGTCCCTGAGCAGCCCTGGTGTCCCCTAGAGCTGCTGTAGCAGAGGTGCTCTAGTGGCTGCTGGCACGAACCTTCGCTCCCAGCTTTGGAGGCCATGTGTCCGAGTCCGGGGCGCCGGCTGGAGGGGCAGGCGCTCTGTGGCTCTGGGGGAGGTCCGTGTCTCTCTGCTAGTTTCCCGGTTCCTGGACCTCTCTCAGCGTCTGTCTGCCTGCCTGCCTCCACCGGTGCTTGCTCCGTCTGCCCTTTTTATATTTCAAGCAAAGACTTAAGACCTTCGCTCTCCTGCCTATAACCATAACAGCGATGCCCCAGCGGGATTCTGGCTTCAGGTGTAGTAGGATTTCCAACCCAGATGTTGGGAGGTGATCCAGGCTGCCACAGTGGCCTGAGAAGCCGCCACATGACACAGGTGACGGCTCACACCATGGATCGAGGACAGATTCTGCTGTCAAGCTGGCGGTTCAAACCTACCAGCCATTCCTCGGAAGGAAGATGGGGCAGTCTCCTTCTGTAGAAATAACCATCTCGGAAACCGAAGGAGGGGTTGCTATGAGTTGAATCAACTGGACGGCAGTGAGTTTGGTCAGTTAGTGTGTCCATGTGACAGGTGACGGCTCAGATTGCTGTGTGGAGGGGTCCATCCTGATCCCTTCTCACCGTACAGACCTACACGCTGCAGGTGGTTGAATGTCAGAGATCGGGCTGGGGGAGGTCTCCCAGGAAACGGTGGGTGGTTGTCACTCAGCCGAACATTCAAGTTCAAGGGGAGCACAGAGAGGGGGAGTCGGGAAACGAGCGGAGCGGCCGCTGCCCTGTCATCCAGGGTGCCCGCCACCTCCAGACGCCTGGCCCATGCCGGCCTGGGCCTGGGGCCGGGTGTGTCAGCCGGGAGGGGCTCTTTGCTCTTCCGCTGGCTGGCAGAGCAGCCTGGCCATGTCTCCTGAGCCCCAGCCCTTTCAGTTCCTGAGGTGGAATGCCCACCCTTCTCTCTGTGCTGCCCTGTGGGCTCTTGAACATGCACGAGGTCACCCCTGCCCCCAGGCCACGTGCCCATCCCTCCCGTGTAGGTTCCCTGAGGACCCCCACACCTGGACCGTGGACCGCCAGCTCCTGTGGGGGGAGGCCCTGCTTGTCACCCCAGTGCTGGAGTCTGGGAAGACAGAGGTGACTGGCTACTTTCCCACAGGCACATGGTACGACCTGCAGACGGTAAGCCAGGGTCCCTAAAACCCAGGGCCTTGGGAACAGGGCATCCCTCCTCCTGGTCGGGGTGGGGACGGTAGTGTTGGGGCCTCTGCTGTCGGGTTCCTCCTGTGTGCTCTGCGCATCACAGTCAGAGCCTCACACTAACGCTGAAGGGGAGACTGAGGCCGGGAGCGTCACTGGCAAGGCCACGTGGCCACGCTGACTTGTCTGCCCGCTCTCCGTGCGCGCCTCAGCTGCTCTGCACCCTCAGTGGCCCCTGGGTCCAGGCCCCTCAGGCTCTGAGCTCCCACCATGTGGCCAGGTCCCTGCAGGGCAATCCTGCTCTGCACCTGAGACCATATCCCAGCGAGTCTCTGCAGAGAACCCTCAGGAGACAGGAGAACGTGGCTCCCGACGACAGGCGTGGGGTCTGGCACTGCCCAGGGCACTGCTGATGTCACCCTTGCCCGCCAGGTGCCAGTCGAGGCCCTGGGCAGCCTCCCACCCCCACCTCCTACACCCTTCAAGCCAGCCATCCACAGCGAGGGACAATGGGTGACACTCCCGGCCCCACTGGACACCATCAACCTTCATTTGCGGGCTGGGTACATCCTCCCCCTGCAGGTACTTGGGCCCCTGCAGTATGGGGTCCACAGGGCCAGCTACACTGTCCCCAAAGGCATCGAGGCCACTGTGGTAGGGGGGCTCCCTAGGAATCCAGGCCGAGAAGATGGACGGCTCCCTTAAGGGGCTGTTTGCCTGTCCTTTCCTGGGCCTCTGGGCGGCTCCTGCATCCTCCAGGGTCTCTGGTGCTGTGACGGAGGCGTGGGCATTGCTGGGGCCTGGGGGAGGTACCGGGACCTAGGAGGGAGCTCAGGAGAGTTGGAGAAGGGGCTGTCCTGAGGTGGAAGGAGATGGGGGCCCTGGGCCGGCCAGTGGGGGCAGAGGGCAGCCCAGGCAGAGGCCTGGCCAGTGGCCAGGGACCTGGGCAGGTCTGCAGGTTGGAGGCAGAGCTGCGGATGAGGGATGGCAGCTGAAGTGGGAGGGAGGGACTCGGCCAGGGTGGCTCTCAGCCCCGTGGGCTCTGCTGTGGGTTCTGGTCACTAGGCAGAGGGGCCCAGCCTCCCGTTACTCCCCTGGGTGGGTGGTGACTTGTGTCCACTCCCCTCCAGGGCCCTGGCCTCACTACCACCGAGTCTCGCAAACAGCCCCTGGGTCTGGTGGTGGCTCTGAGCATGAGCGGGGAGGCCCGAGGAGAGCTGTTCTGGGATGACGGGGAGAGCATGGACGTGCTGGAGCACGGGGCCTACACCCTGGTCCTCTTCCGGGCCCAGAATGTGAGTCCAGGGCCGGCCAGGTGGGCGGGCTGGCGTGGGCACCACCCTCATCTGTGTAGAGTGGGAGGGCCGTTTCCCAGGCCTATCTTGTCCTTTCACGTGTACGCGGTGAGTTGCCCCCGACACTGTCACGTGTCTCCCGTTCTGGTGGGGCTTCCCGCCCACCGTGCACTAACCTGCCGTGTTCCCTCTCTCCGGGTGGGACCAGAACACCGTTGTGAACGAGCTGGTGCACATAGCCAGTGAAGGGGCCAGCTTGCCGCTGAGGAAGGTGATGGTCCTGGGTGTGGCCACGGCCCCACAGCAGGTCCTCTCCAACGGTGTTCCAGTCTCCAACTTCACCTACAGCCCCGACACGCAGGCAAGGGCACCCTCCGTGGGTCCCAGAGGGGGGCGGTTTGCAGGGACTAAGAAATGGGCTAACCAAGCTGGTCCGTCGGTCAGGACCTCCAGGAACAAAGCCTGTCCGAGGACACCGATGCCAGATGCCAGCTGAGCTGTGTTGCCGGGGGGAGGAATGCCAGCCTTGGCCGAGGGGTGGGAGGCACAGCCCCACAGCCCGTCTCCTCTCCCTGTGCATGTTTGTCTGGGGATGCGGTCCTCACGGCGACCCACGGGCTGTCATCTCAACAGCACCTTGACTTGAAAGCTCACGGAGCTGGCACGTGCTGAGCACTGGTCCTGAGTCAGTGGGGAAGGACTGGAGCGTGGCCCCTCCCCAGGGGCTGCCCGCCATGCCCAGGCCCCCTCCTGAGCGCCCGGGGCCTGCATGCTTTCTGGTCATTGTTTGATGCTCCTTGTTATCATTCCCGCAGATCCTGGGCGTCCCCGTCTCGCTCTTGGTGGGAGAACAATTTCTCATCAGCTGGTCCTAACTTGGTGCCAGTGGTGCCTCTGCCCTCGGTAATGCAATGGGAGAGCGGTCCATGCCGCCGGTCAGCTGCATGGGAGCCCAGGGGCTGCGAGCACTTACCCGGGCTTTGCTTCCTCTGCCCACCTCCCGGGGTCTGGGGCTCCGGCTGTCGATGTAGCTGGTGCTGCTTCTCCCCAGGTTCCACCGCTGGGTCAGTGCCCTCGAGGGTTTCAGTAGGAGCATCACAGCCTTGGTCTACCTCTTCACAGCATCCCGGGGACGTGTGCGCCGTAAGCAGCTCCCAGCTCCGCCATCCGTGGTGATACAAAAAGCATGCCTGGGGCACCTGCACCCGAGCCCGTGCGCCTGCCACATGGTGGTGGCTGCTGCTTTCTGACCACGTGCCAAGGTGGGAGCTGAGCAGCCGGTCCCTGAGAACAAACACGGCTGTCCACTAGGCCCAGGGAACTAGAGAGGATTCACGGGACTGGGGACACTTCATCTCAGTGGGATTATTTTTAATAAAAGTGGCACTGAGAATCAAGCTGCTGTCACTCCTTGTTGGACGTGAGGCAGGGGGGCTATGTCCAGGGGCCACGAGGCAGCAACTGCTGGTCTCCTGAGGTCCAGGGTGAGTGTCTGTACTCATACATCACTGTACGCATTGAAATGCTGTGAGAATCACCAGGTGAACCTACAGTGTTCCTTTGGAAATTTACACTGTTACGATCCCCAACCAGCTGAGAGAAGGAAGGGGTGAGGTAGAATGGCCACTTCCATTTTAAAGATTAGAAAACAAGAGTTAAGTGGGCCTCCCAGGGTGACCCAGCAAGTGAGTGGAAAAAGCCATTGTCACCTTAAGAAACACGAGGGACAGCTTATGGGAAATAGTACGTATTTTAATTAAAAAGACTGACAACAATACATTATTTACACGCGAGTGAGAAAGATCTGAACTTCCCCAGGCTTCTGTGGGGCGGGCTGCAAAGGGCTCACACGAACCCCATTACATGAAAGCTGCCCCCCGAGACTTCCAAAACAAGGATACAAAATAGGTGAACAGGCTCCGAGTTATCTTCAGCACCGTGAGTCTGTCCTCAGATGAGATCAGCGACTGCAATCAGAGAAAGACAGGTATGAACGGATGATACCAACAGGATGACAACCCGTCACTTCCGAGGCTCAGGCTAGAGTCTGGGGGGCGGAGGGATGACTACATTAGGAACCACGGTGGCGGTGCGGGGCCGGGCCTCACCGTTCATGGGCATCTCATCAATCTGAGTAGAGTAGTACTGCTCGATGTCCCTCAAGATGCGGATGTCATCGTTCTTCACAAAGTTGATGGCTACACCCTTCCGGCCATACCGACCAGACCGCCCGATTCTGGAGGAACACAACGGGTCAGTACACGCATCCCGGGCAGGGACAGCACCTACGGCCCACCCGCGCCTGACCGCGAACGCATCCCGCCTCACACCTGTGGATGTATAACTCTCTGTTGTTGGGCAGGTCGTAGTTGATGATGAGGGACACCTGAGGGACATCCAGTCCTCTGGCCCAGACATCCGTGGAGATGAGCACTCGGCTGCAGAAAGAAAAGTCATGTGACCAACTGCCTGAGTGTCACACCTCACATCCTGAAAGTATCCATTTCTCCTCAGCCCAGCTAAGAGCCCAGAGCACTGGACACCAATCACCATCACACTGGCCTGTGACGACATGTTACGGAGGCACCAGGAACCGCTCAGAGGGGCTGGGAGGGAGGGCTGTGTGGCGTATTCATTACTCGGGGCACGAGCACTAGCTGGTAATGGAGTTAGATATCCTTAATGACATCTGACTTGAAGGTGGCCCCAGACTGGCAATGGGCACAGTGTTGTACTTGGCCTGAGAAGAACCTGGCCAACAAAAGGCCTCGCTGACATTGGTGCAGCATTTCTCTTGGATCTGATGCAGCTCACACGTCTCCCTCACCCTCTACACGCCTTGCTGTGCTGTCCAGAACAGCAGCCACGAGCCACGGGTGACCGCTGGGCACTGGAAACGCGGCCAGTCCCAGCAGAGAAGTGTTGAGAGCACACAGAGTGGAATGTGAAGACATAGTACAACAAAAGACGCCAATGTCTCCTAACAGTGATCACTTTCTGAGATGACACTAAGGCATACAGGGTGAGATTAGAAACCGGCGCCCTGTTTCTTACCTACTACAACGTGGCTACTAAGGAAGTTCAACTATGTGGCTTCACTAACTTCCTAGCGGGCGTTGCTCATCTAGAGGTCTTCAAAGTACAAAGGGACAGGACAGTGAGAGGTCACACCACATGGAGGTGGCACTTCCGTCTGATCAGTCCCATAAGTGGAGCCCAAAGAATGGGGCAGAAGGATCTAGGAAGAAACGACCTACAGATCCTCAACAGGAGGAGGAGTATCAGAAAGTGGCCCAGAAGAAAAACACACTGTTCGTAGGAGCAACAATCAGACTGGCAGCTGATTTCCCAACAGAAACAATGGAAGCCACACAACCGTGGAACTGTATCATTAAAGTGTGGAAGGAGTGTTAACTGTCAACTCGGAGTTCCATCACAGCAGGTATCTCCTTCAGGACACGCGAAGATATTTCAAGGTGAGACGTTTCCAGACCAACTGAAACCCATACCTGTTACCAGGACATCAGCCCGGGAAGGAAACCCAAAAAGGCATTCTTCAGTCATTGTTGGTCAGATGGAGTTCAGAGATAAAGGAAAACAGGAGCAACAGATACAGCAAAGATGTCTCGAAACCCAGACGGACTGTTATGGAAAGGAATAATGTCTCGTGGAGTTTTAAGATATATATAAATTAAAATACATGACGAGGATGGCAAGTGTGGGGTTAAATGGAGCTTAAGTGTTTTCTGGTCCTTGTCCCCTCTGGGAAGACCCTCAAAGGACGAATCAGGAACATGTGGTACACGTCAGGCAGCTTCTCCTCACCAAGCGACCATCGCTGGCGTTTCACAGTTATGACAGTAGTAAAAACATCTACCTGACTGATTTATGCATTCATGACGTGCGCCTGCCAGTAACAGATGCCGAGGTCTGAGGCGAGAGTGACACCGACTGGGAAGCTTAAGGCTATGAGGCAAGCTGGCTGGGCCCGGACCCTCACTGGTCTGGCAGCTGCGTAGCGATGCAGCATCCTCCATTTCCACTAACACCGATTTTCACATAATGACCTGGTCTTTAGAGCGTGACCATGCTGGTAAGTGAGGAGAAGCATAATCACTCAGGTAAATACGAAATAATAATAAAGAAACAGATGTCTCCAAATTAAGAAAGAAAGAAATCAATTCCAAAATAAGATAAAAAGGAAATACAGAAGAGACATGACAAATAAAATGCACTTAGCAAGACAGTTCACGCTGTTTCCAAGAAACACACCTAAAACTCAGGGACACAGACAGGGTGTTCAAGGATGAGAGAGATGCACCATGGAAGCCTCACCACAGTAAAGCCACTGGGGTCCATCAGGTGCGGCAGACGCAGGCAGACAGCGTTAAGAGAAATGACAGGCACTTCAATTATCTTTGTAACTGGAAGCAAAGTCTCCAGGAATGTGTAATGATTCTAAACACGGTGCACCTAATCCCACAGGCTCAGAACACGTAAAGCCAGAGCTGACAGGTAGAAAGGAACCATCCTCACAGCCCTCCCAACGCAGACAGAGCAAGAAGGGAGCAAGGCCAGCGATCTGGAAAGGCCACTGGCTGCTGAAATCTAGCGGGCACACAGAGGACTGCAACAGGACACGTGGGCTGTTCAAGGACAGAGTCTCTTACAGTGGCTTTTGCTGGGCCCCAAAGCAAGGCTTAATATGCTTCAGAGGAAAGAAATCATCAACACAATGTGTGGTTCTCTGGCCACAATGTGAGCTGCAGCCACTGCCACGCAGCTGCAGCCTGCCCACTGCTGGGCACGGACGACACGCTTCTAATAAAGCTCCCTGCCACCAGGAAGTGACGACATGAGCTCCCCCGGTTCAGATGGTGAGGAGGACCCTCTCAGATCAGGGCTGGGGGCAGTGACACGCAGCGCTAGCCCCGGGAGGGCATACTGCCTGCAGGGTAGAGGGAAGGACCAACCTGGCACCAGATCTGAACTCCTTCATGATGGACTCGCGCTCCTTCTGCGGCATGTCTCCATGCATCGAGGAGACAGTGAAGTTGGCTTCCCGCATCTTCTCCGTCAGCCAGTCGACCTGAAATCAAGGCAGCGGGGGCTACTATGAGTGCGCGCCAGAGCAGAGACCTCGACTCAGACTGCAGGTCCGCTCATGCAGAAGTGACATGAATGCTTATGAAGCACCTTTCAAACCCAGACCAACCCTGATGTGTGTGGGAGGGCTCACTGCGCCCAGCCAATGCTGGAGTGCACCGAGATACCCTCTGAGTAAGTGTGTTCCAAGTAACATTCCTCCAGTTGAAAGGCGGCAGAACAACTCAGAAGGGTGAGGGTGGCCATGCAGTGCAAGAGCGTCAGTGTCACTAACAGCACACGCAGGAACTGCTGGTCTGGGGTGTGCTCTGCCATGTATACGTCAACAACAAAATAAAATTTAGGGGAAAAAAATGGAAAGAAAACAATTTATGGGGTATGGTACAAGAAAAGAGAAGCTATTAAAAATTTCAGAAAACAAAAAGGGGGAGCGCTTCTCATTTGGAATTTAAAGATGAACCTTTGCAGGATGCAGTCCAACTTCTTTTCCTTTTGCGAGTATAGCTGCCTGGACGTGAGTGTCCCCCAGGGCACTTTTACATCTCATGCATGGCTCCCACCTCAAACCAACCACATCTGAATCTTTGTAGGGGGCCTACATCGATGTTTTTTAAACTTCCTCAGATACTTCTGCTTGCATCTGGGCACTGCACCAGCCACAGCAACATCAGCCTACTCTGGCCACCACTTGTTTTTGTACAAGTTTTACTGGGATGCAGCACAACCATTCGTTTACACACCGTCTGTGGCTGCCTGTGTGCTACAACAGCAGAGCAGAGAAGTTAGGACAGACGCTGCGTGGCCCACAAAGCCTAAATGATTTATTACTGGCCTCTCCACAGTCTGAGCTACGTTACTCAGTGAAATAAGCAACCTTCACTTTTCCCGGTAAGGACAGTAAAGAAGACAGATAATGACACACACCTTCCTCTTGGTGTTACAAAAGATGACTGCCTGCGTGATGGTTAGCGTGTCGTAGAGGTCACACAGTGTGTCAAACTTCCACTCTTCTCTCTCCACTGCCACAAAAAACTGCTTGATGCCTTCAAGTGTCAACTCATCACTGCAGGACAAAGAAAAACTGTCACCATTCATGCTTCCCACCAAGGCAGCCAAGCAGGCAAGCCCTGCTCCCAGCACTGGGACAGGGACAAGGCCCATCACAGCAGCTCACAGAGGTGGGTCACTGTAGCCACTTCCCGCCAGCCCATCCACATCACCTAACCCACCGTCTATTTCCACCACAGAGGCCCACATTCTGGATCATTCTCAACAGTCAACAGTGTGGCTGGATCGTCCACGTTTTAAGAAAATCCAGAGATCTGGATCTTCACACAGAATCTTCCAGTTAAAAATATGGCTCCAAACACCACATTCCCCTTTCCCAGCAGGTGCAGCATGTTCCATTCCCAACATACTGATCATCTAGGACCCTCAGCTTGCTGTTTTAATTTGCAAACAGGAGGTCGGAGGGGAGTTAACTCATAGAAGTCAGTTTCCCGTAAAGAGGAAACGAGAGGAATTTCCATGCTTTAAAACCCTTTACAAATACGACATAATGTGCCCATAACAGTGAGCAGCAGGGCGCTTTTACCGTTTCACCAAGATGCGGATCGGGTCAGTCATGAACTTGTTGGTCATCTCCAGGATCTCATGCGGCAGCGTGGCACTGATGAGCACCACCTGTGTGGCTGGGGGCAGGTACCTGTAGACATCATAGATCTGCTCCTTGAAACCTTTGGGGAGTGAGACATGCGCACATTTAAATACTGACTGCACAGCCAACACGCACGCTTAACCAGACACAACTGTCGGGGGGGAAGAATAAGCCACAGACAGTCGGTCAAGCTCGTTGTTTTTACGGAGGTGAACCACGCTTGCATGGTCTCCCTCTCCTCCCCCCTCTCCGCCCCGAGCCTGGTGCTCTCCGGCTGAGGGACCCCATTCTCCCCTGAGGGCATCATGGGTTCTCCCCAGGGTCCCCAGATGCCAGAAGTTAGAAGCATCAGAATCACAAGACCGATCACCCCAATCTCAGAGTTGCCAGGCCAGCCAGGACTCAGTGACACTATCACTGCCTATCTAGGGTGGCCAGTCTTCCACACCATAAGAGGACCCAGAGAGTTGGGTTTTTATACAACATCTTTCAGTTCAAAAATGGCAGGAGGCAGCAATATAAACACAGTGAACTTGGCTGAATAACAAGCTACATTGCTGAAATACTTTCGAAAAAATTCAGACACAAAAATAGGCATATAAATAAATAAATAAATAAATAAATAATATAAATCAGTGATCAGAAAATAACGCCAGCAACTAGCTTAAACGGTGGTTTTAATACGTAGAGTCTGAACAAAGCACACCAGCTCGCAGGCCTGGTCCCATCACCAGACAGCCACCTCTCCTAAGCCTGGGCAGGAGTGGGGCACGTGCCACTGCTCCGAGTCAGAGAGGCTGCGAAAAGGCTGCTGGAGTTCCTGGCTCCCCGGAAAGCCAGATGCTGAGGGCACGCGCTGCTGATCTGTGCGTCACTGTGACTGTGAGTCACATGCAGAGCCAGCTTTGCCTTCACGGGCTTTGTGGTAAGCATACCACTCCTCAAGCGAAAACCAGGGCCTTCAACACAGAGGCTGTCGTGTAGTGTATTTCTACCCAAACACTGCACACCCACCTTCTACGGCAACCTGCCTGCCCTAAGCACTACATTAACTTCTACACTGTGTCTTTACAGTGTCGCTGTAAAAAATCAGCACAGTGTGCCCATGGGGCAGTGGGTCGCACACAAATACAGGAGGCACCAAGTCCAGTGTACAGGTAGACCCCACCCCACCACGGTTCCACTCCACGCTTCAGTCCAGGGCTGACGCAGCCAACACGACTCCCACGGCCACGTCTGAGCTGCAGTGCCGTCATCCGACAAACCCCAGCCACAAACCGATCCCAGTGGGGGTTTATGTTCCACCTGCCTCGCAGCAGTTCTCCAACAGACACACCCTGTCCACACCCCAAAGACCCAAGAGCTGAGGCTGGGTTAGCGGCAAGCCCGCCACTCACCTTTATTCAGCATTTCATCAGCCTCGTCCAAGACTAACATCTTGATTGCACGCGTCCTTAAGCTCCTGCGACGGATCATGTCTATAAAATCAGATGTTGAAACGAGCATACAGAGACCTCTCCTGCACCTCCCACAGACCACCCACAGTGCAGACACCACGGTGCTGCCCTGTGCCGTTAGGCCCTCGTCAGATACTACTCCACGGCGGTCGTGACAAGCGCGCTTACCAAAGACTCGGCCGGGTGTGCCAGCAACCACGTGCTGCCCGTAGTCCAGCTTCCGGATGTCCTCCCCAACGTTGGTGCCCCCGATGCAGGCATGGCACTGGACGTTCATGTAGTCGCCAAGAGCAAGCAGGCCCTGGGGAGAAACGGGCCTCGCGGCTCAGGCTGGTCGCACACAGGGCCTGCCTCCGGAGCGCTGGCGGCAGAAGCACCTGCACTTCCCCAACGAAGAGCTTCTACTTCAGCTTCCAAGACCCGCCCGAGATGATGGCTTACGCCTGCCGCGGCAGCCATGAAGGGCCTGACTCTCCTACCCTCTCCTCCACCAAGAGTTCTGATTACAAAAGCAACACACGTCGATTATAGAAAAACCAGAAAAGGACACGCAAACTGCATAACCCCACCGAGCCGAAGCCAGCGTTACCCCGTTCACATCTGGAGTGTTTGTAACACACACAAACGTAACAGACAGGACCGTTCTAACCTTTAGCATTTCAAGACCACAAAAGACAACCTAACACAAACCAACAAGTCGTGTAACGTGTAAATGCATGGCAATGGTTTAGGAATCACGAAGATTTTGAAGAAAAAGTAGAATATGATTGTTAATCAGCTAGTATTTTAGAAGTGAATTAAAAAGCAACGCCTGCCAACGTTACCTCATCTCAATGGTCTTACCTTTTGTATCTGCACGGCTAACTCTCTTGTAGGAGCCAGGATCAGAGCCTGGGTTTCACGAACCTGTAAGACAATTGGAAAATAGACTCCTCAGGATTCTAGAATCCAGATGGCGGGGTCTGTTCAAGACACCACATAATATTTACCTATACTTCTGGCTTCTAACAGATGTAAGCCCATCTTAATATTATTTAAATTGCAAATATGTCAATACTGGGATGGATTAGTCAGGATTCCTGATTTCAGACAAAAATTTTCTCTAACTCAAAATCTAACAGAAAGGGATCTGTGACAGCTATCAGTCCAGACATCACTGTGCAGTCCAGGCC